TTAAAGCTCGACTACACACACGTGTTTGATCACGATCAAAAATCGTGATCATAAAATTGGCAAACCACCGTAAATGGTAGGAGTATATGTCACTACAAAGCATCTCTCTTGAAAGTACTCTCGATGTAATGTATCTTTCTTGAGCATGATGCATCGCCCACTCTCAAATATACATATTAGAGCGTTCATCATCCCTTATTCCGGAAAACTATTTTTATTTACGATCGCGACGACGACTTGCTAATGTGCGACGTAATCTTTCACAGAGAGACCGTAATTGACTGTGAAAGGATGGAAGAAACGATAATTATTTGCGTACTGTGAGATTAAACTGAAATATATGTAAATATCTTGCGCATTTTACTGTAAATTCTATTTGAACACACTTTCCGCCTCTGTTGGAAAAATTCCCTTTTTCCGAATTCGACTCGAAATCACATGGTATTTAATTTTAATACGCGGCGAAATAAAACTGCAAGCTTGGATTGTGTGTGGATAAAATTAAATTTAAATTTATTATTGTAATGGGTGTTGTAATTACACGGTCTTTGTGTGCAAGACACATTTAATATTTATTTTAACTAATGAATATAAAATATTTTAGTATTTGCTCCTATTATGTATGTGATTCTATTTAATGGATTTTTACAGCAATATAGTAAAAAGATCAACGAGACACAGATACTGTTTCGCGGAGAACGATAAAATCTTCCCATCTTTCCAAAAAAAAACAGGAAAAAAGAAAAACCTTGGTTGTATACATTTTATACTAAAGTGCAAAACTTTAAAGTAACTTGTTTATGTGCGATTTTGTATTGCTTTGTATCTCTAACAAATAAACAAAAACAAGAAGAACACGTACTTTGATTAAAAAGTTCATCTAAGCACAACTTTGTAACAAAAATATTTGGATATATCTCTTATACATATTTCCTAACTTAATAAAAACAAAGAGTTTGAACATAAAAATCACGGTATCGCAGCAGTTTTGTTATTGAAAGTAATCCAGAACGGAAGCTTGTTTTTGTATAAAATAAAAAACATTACTTTCGCCACGCGGTTGAATATTACATGTGTAGTAATATTTTTCTATTGTTTCTATTCTCTCTATTTTATACACAAACACGCATATGAGAATAGAGAATCACGTTAAAAAAACTAAACTCTAAAAAAAAGCGAAGAAAATTAACTCTTCGTGGACCGACTTTTGAAAATGTTTCCTAGTTGGACTGACTAAAAAAGTGATTTGACTGAATCTGTGAGACTCACGCGACTTTAAAATTGAACATCTCTGCGAATAAACAATATTTTTCAATTTTGTTTGTATTTTTTTGAATCGAAAGTTTGAACGATTCTGCGTCAATAAAAAAAAATAAAAAAAAACAAAACAAATAAAAAAAATCTAGTAGTTTCCAAAACATAAGCGTAAAAAGAAAAAAATTTTTACTAGAGACGCCAATGCGCAATTTTTGAGTGAATCTGGGAGATGTCAGTCTACAAAGGGTTAATTTACGAACTATTATATAATAGAACAACTCAGACACTTAATAACAATTAATCTCGTACTTCAAATTCGCAAAGTGTTTTTGCTTACCTCGTTGTGTCCTGGTCGACAAAATCAATCTCCGTACGTGCCATTACGGCGTCTTGCGTCTCCAAATCTTGATACTCGTTTTGAACGATGTACATCAGTACGTTCATGGCGAGAAATTTCGAGATCACAAAAACAAGCGCGACGACAGCTGCCGTTCTACGTTTTGTTGCACGTTTTGTCCCACCGCCGTCGTCATCGCGTCGACGACGCGCGGAATAACACAAGCGAACAGACACGAATTTCACTTTAATAAATTTCTTTCGCCGACAAATAACGCGGCGCGTAAAACAAAGTGAGCGAACCGTCGCGTCGTTCGCCGAGATTAAAATTTCCTTGTTTCCTCTCTCATTAAAATTTTGCGTCGGTTCTGTAAAACGTCGTCGATGTACATTGCGTTAAATCGTTACTCGAGTTATTATTAGATTTAATTGTCCGCGCCGTATGAATTTATTCACGCCGATAGAGACGCCGCGATCTCGTTGTCGCACTCGTTGTTAACCACGTTACGGTTTATTGTGCGTCGCCATTGTAATGCAAACTCCGCGTCAATTTCGTTGATTGCTTTTCAGGTCTCTCTTTCTCTCTCTTTTTCTCGTCGCTCCATAATCGCGCACGGTTGAAACACAGTTTTCCGCCAGAGGAAACGCACACAGGAATGATTAACGACGTAATATAAAATTACACCGTGAGTCCATTATTGCGCATATTGTCCTTCGGACGAGATTACTTGCTGCAAAGTCTCTCTTCTGCGCACTTTGTGACCAATTATCACGACACGATTATCCTTGTAGTTGCGGCAGCAGCTTGAAACAAATAAATAATTTTATACTCCGTCTAACGTGCGCACGTTAACGTTGAAGTGAGAAATCACAAATGTCTTTTGTCAAAGTTTATACAGATAATAATTTATGAATAGTTTTTACGAATAGTTTGCGCGAACAGTTCAACAATCTGCATAACATTTATGCAACTCGCGAAGACGCTGGAAATTTTTTTTTTTTTTTTTTTTTTTATTATCACTTTTCGCTATTAAAACTTTCACGTAGTCGGAAATTTCGTTCTGACACTGAAGCGTATCAATCGTCGTTCTAAAATTTTTTAAATTTTCTGTCGCTTGCCGTCCAGTTGTTTCGCATGTACAACTATATCAAAGCTTTTACGTCAATTTTCAATAACACGTGAAACAAGGAAATTTTTTGCAACATATTTTTAAAATTTACTTGTGAAAAATAACGATCTGTACACGTTCTGATGTACATAAATATAACATTTGTTTTGAAAAGTTTTTGTTTCACTTTCAAAGATAAAAAAAAAACATTGTTACTTGTCAGTTAAAACTTTTTCATATAAATAAATAAATCAATAGATAAGTGTGAAGAGTTGCAACGTGAGTTTTGCTACGCTTTGTGTGCAAGCAATGTCAATAAGTCAATAATAAAACAATTGTCAAAATTTCTTATCTATCAATTATGTACGTGACAAGATAAGTCGGTTATTGAGTGATTACAAATGAAAAAGGTAATTATACCTCCTTGATGTACATCAAGCCGGTATGTATATAATTAAAACGATCATATATCGATAAATCAACATTTCTTGACTCGACATTCATTGATCAAAATGTCGCTCTGACTGCATTAACGGACGAATAAAAATTAGCAGTTTCGAGATATTTGCACGTTTTTTTTTGTCTTTTGTTTTCTCTTTCTTCTTTTTTCTCTCTCTCTCTCTCGAATGCCGCGATTGTGTGGCGATGCTGTCGCGTTTGACAGTCTCGCGACGAAGAGCTTCGCTGTTTCGCGCGGCACTGAGAAGCGCCGGTTGCTCATTCATCGTCGACACCCCGCAAACTCACACACACGTACACCCCACAACCGTCGTCGCGCAGGCGTTGCACCCTCTCGTCGTTCTCGACGACGTCGCGACGCGCGTCGCTGCTGAGAACAAGAGATAGGAAAGAAATCAAGAGTTCTCTCGCACATCGCGCGCGCGTTTTCTGTGAAGCGCGCGACCCGAAAACGACGCGATCACGCAAGGTGGCGAGTCGACAATGATTTATCGTCATTTGCTCCGTTCTCGCAGAAGAAAGCGAGTTAGAAACGGTATTTGGCGGGAGCACGATTTATGGAATCTGTGGATTCTTTCGCCACGTTCGATATATCGTCGAACAACTTTGCGCGCTTTGTTTTGCGCAAATTTAAGGAACTGAGCGGGATAACAAAAGCTCACAGAATGTGGGCGAGAAGAGTCGAGAACTCGCGAGCAATTTCAAAACGAGATTGAAAAAGTCGATGCAATACGAGCGTGTACTTGACTAGCCAGCGTCATAAAAAAGGTTGACGTTCGTTGCTGCGCGTTTTTGTTTCTTTATGGAAATATATATAAATATAGAAATTGTTTTCGGTTTTTTTTGAGTGATATAATAATTGAGTAATTTTTAGAAGATTATTAAACTAATATACGCACACACACATATGTATAATATAAAAAAACATGAAATTTCACGAAGAGTAACTAAGAATACTACAAACAAAATTGCGAAATAATTTAAAATACACTGTTAAAATAATTAAATATAAATGTTTTTAGTACAAATTTGTATCTTGTATTTTTTTTTATTTTCAGAAAAGATCTCTATAATAAGGTTTTGTTTCTGACTTATAACTACCAGTATATTTGCAACTACCAGTTCTGCTGACTGAATTTGAAATTACTGTGATTTTACAGATAACGCGATTTAAGCAAAGTCCGGATAACATCGTAAACGAATTAAGCGAATGCCGCTGGCTAGGCATTATATAATGAGTAATCAAAATATGGCAATCTTGTTGCGCAAAGTCTAGCTTGAGTTTCGCTTTGATACAACCGAGTGTCTCGCCTTTCACGACCATCGACGCTCCACGTTCGTCAAAGAGGGAAAGGAGGGAAACGGGGGAACTCCAAACGCCTTGCTCTCTCTCTTCGCTTCTCCTCTCTCTCTCTCTCTCTCTTTCTCTCTCTCCCTCTCTCTCTTGCGAGGAACCTACAATATCACAAGTTTCTATAACCGGCTGTTATACCGTGTTCCGACGCAAAGCGATAACTTCGACCGAACGCTGTGCGTGGCGTTCGTTTAAAGCGGAATTCACATCGGTTATGTACTAATCGTAAATCGCTGTTGAACTTTTCTCTTTCGCATCAACGATTCGATCAAGTTGATACCGAGTTATTCGCGAGTGGGAGTTTCTACTGACGAAAGCGCGTTCGGTGAATGTGCGTATATTTGTTGTGTATTTTACATGCGGTCGGAGAGAAATACAGCTTATTCGTGTTTTAAACGCGTTACGAATTCCTGAATTCTCTGATTCTCAAAATTTAATGCATTTAAATTCGTGCGTAAGTCGAGAGATATTTTACGTACGATTACATTGTATTTAATTACTTAATAATAATAATGCTTTTTTATTGTCAACAAACTTAACTGTTGACATCATTAATTACCTTTATCAGATGTTAATTAATATAGGAACAATATTTGTTATTGTTAATTCAGCTCTCTGCAATGCAAAATAAAAACTTTTAGAATTACAAATGAATTGAATAAATGTACTTCGGACGTTTCTACAGTAAAATACTCTTTATTATATGACTAATATTGTGGAGTAAGCTTTAAGACATAAATTTCAACGGCTTTGGATGCGCGTTGCCAATCGCGATTAATTCTAATGATAAGCAGATTTTTGTAATTAGAGATGATGCACAACGATGGAATGATAGTCGCTTACATAATGCCGATCCTACAACGATATGTCGTTACTTGTGATTTATTACAAAAAACCGAACGGTAGCGAGTGAGTCGGTGCGAGACCGTCTATCAACGAAGTACGGACACTCTCGCGTCAAGTGTGTGGTGCGTGTTGTATATATAGAATATAAAGACGCGTTTGAATCAAATGCTGTGTTCCAGCATTGATTATGAAATAAAGTGCATATTCTCTTCTGAACTGTAACTTGTTGTTGTCGGTTGTTTTTTCTTATTGATTTCTTCGTGAATATCAACCGATTTGATGATGATAAGTGATAGATGCGCACGCGGAAATTGGAATTTATAAAAAATGATGGTTCAGCGAAAATGAAAACTTGAAAAAACTAGACTAGTATTGAAACTGACACGCGTTTGCTTTTGTATATATTTGGTTATATAAACACCAACTTGGGTTTTACTGTTTGATTTTTTTTTCCATTTTATTGTTTACCAAAACAGTGAGATACTACGAAATATTTTGTCTGTTGTATATCAAACAATTGTCTCTGTTTTGTATATATCAAATTTTTGTTTTGATTTATACAATACATGTGTACAAATTCTCTGCGTGCATTTAGAATTCTGATATATCAAAATTTATAAATTTATATTTCACAAATGTTATTTTTTCATTTTAGTCTTTTTATCTTTTTTTTATCATATCTGAAGTGCTAAAGCACAATGTTTTTTTGTTCTTATTGTTGCAACAAATCTGCACGTTAAAAAAATATATATCTCACTTTGAGATAAAAACCTCTTGTAAAAATTTAGATTTTATGATCGGTAACTTTCCAAAAACCTGCGGGAGTTATTTTTGATCGCAGTAAACTCGAAATTCAATGTTACAACTGGATTGGTTTCACTAAGCAAATTATTGTAAACTACTACTTATTTTTGAAAGAGTTAATTGCTGTTAACGCTTAATCGGTAGTCGAGTCATTCCGGAGGGAATTAGCTTATTATCATCCGTTATCGGAAAAAACCGTGTGGAATATTGTCACGCGCATTTGTCTGCATTTTTTTTTTTTTTTCAAAAGCGAATAAAGTACTGGGTCAGAGAGCAGCGATCTACGGTGCACAAGTGAGTAAACAAGAAATCCGTTTTTTGTGTTTTTGTTATTGTAGCGAACGAAGTAACAGATATTTTCTGTTTTCTCTTCTCCGTCTCTTTTCTCTTTTCGCATACATTTTTCTTGTCAGAAAATTACATCATTTTTGCACGTGCCGGATAAATTTGGAAATTTTGTCACCGAGTCTCGTGAGACTCATGTTGCCCTCGCTATTTTCTCATATCAAGGTCTCAATTGAAGAACTGAATAGATTGGGTTGATGTGTGTTCCCAGAAGAGAAGATGATCTGAGCGAAAGAATTGAAGCAGTGACTTGCTAACCGACACTAAATAAATCTCTTTGGATATTTTTCTTTGTACAATATAACTCATCTCTGACTCTACAATCTCTATACAATAATTACGTCTCTATAAGACGATACTCGTCTTATCTTAATTTAAATAGCTTTTCAATAATTTTTCGCGCAAAAAAATGTCGACAAGTTGTTGATATCAAGTTTTTTTTCTAGCGCGAAAAATATATATATTTTTTTAACAAAAGCGTGAAAAATGGATAGACGAAACAATTTAATTAAAAAACGGGGAGCCGGACACATTTTTCAGAGAATTGAAAAAAACGAAAAATAGCGATGCAAATAAATATTCCGTTTCTGTTTTCAGTGGCTAAGTGGTGCAGAAAAGATAAATGGCGCAAGTATGTTACGCGAAGATTGCCATTTCTCGGCTGGGCGCCGCGATACAAACCCACGTGGCTCCTGCAGGATGCGTTGGCCGGCATCACGGTCGGTCTCACAGCCGTGCCTCAAGGCATCGCTTACGGTACCGTTGCCGGTTTAAATCCTCAGGTAAAACAATCGTCGTCGTACATGAATGTTTCGTATTGCACACACACACACACACACACACACACATACACATCTAGAGTTAAATCGGTCATTGAAATTGCAAGTATAAATCAGAAAATACGAGACAAAAAATCTATTGTTATTAACAACCTGTACTTAAATCTCGTACAATGTGTTATGATCTTGTAGTACGGACTGTACGCAGCATTCATGCCATCGTTTATTTACGTCATTTTCGGTTCATGCGAAAACATCACCATCGGCCCGACAGCCATTATGGCCACCATGGTTCAGCCGTTGGTCGCAAATTACGGTGCTGACATAGCGGTGCTGATCGCCTTTTTGAAAGGCTGCATAATCGCATTTCTAGGAATTTTTCACTTAGGTACGTTTTAGTTTAAAAACGACGGACTTTGAGAGAAAATACAAAATTTCTTTGATAAATCGCGTATTTGCGCTTAAACACGCGAAATTTGCGTCTGACTGAAGTGTTTGTTGTTTCATTTAAAGGCTTCTTGCTGGATTTCATATCGCTTCCAGTAATCACTGGCTTTACTTCAGCCGCGGCGATCAATATAGCGTCTTCCCAGTTCAAGTCGCTTCTAGGCATTCCCGGCAGAACCGAGAGTTTTCTGGATTCCTTAAAAGCGATCTTCAACAATCTCCACGAGATCCGGTACGAAGATACTTTGCTGGGAGTCGGAACAATCGTTGTTTTAGTTCTGCTCAAGGTGCAAAAAAGAAACTTCAGTTCTCTTATCAAGTTTAAGATCAGTTTTCTGTTTCTGTGAGTATACACATTGCTGTACACAAGCAACAGATTGGATAATCGCTTTCCTTAATTTCTTGTTTAAGCGGCATTAGTTGTCGCGATTTATGTTGCAACGTAACTATGCGAATTTCCATTTTCTCTCGTCAATGCAAGTATTTGTTTTTAACAAAATTTGGAAAAGATAATTTTATAATAATAAGATCTTGTATGTTTCAACAGAACATACCAGGCCGACGTAAAGGAACAATTGTTCAAAAAATAGGATGGCTTCTCGCCCTGTCTCGCAACGCGTTAGTCGTAATTGTAGGCACGGTTATGGCATACCTCTTCTACGTTAATAATCCAGATAATCCTTTTCCCTTCAAATTAACGGGTGAGTAGAGAAGAATAATTTGTTTGTGACGTTAGAACTTTTTAAATAATAATAATTAATAATATATCGAAACAACTTCTATTGATTTGACGCAGTATAAGTGTAGGTGTAGTTAGCACACAAGTTTCATAAATCATTGCATTATCGACGTTTTCTCTCGATATGTTCTGAAAGTTATGGAATTGAGTTCGGATAATTTATTCCATTACTATACAATCGCAATAAATTGGCGACAATAAATCTGGCTTATTAATCGTCAAAGTTAGTTAATGGTTCAATATCTGTCGTGTCGAGAACTAAAATTTGAATTTCTGTTGAAAATCTATTTCGCTGTACAATTATTTTCGATATTACACGTGTAATCATTAGTTTTTATCACGCGTGTTATATCGTGATTGAAATACATTGTTCGAGTGATTGGTGACTGGGGTCACTCAAATCACGCGAGATACAAAATATTGTTCACAGGATCGATGGATCAGGGTTTGCCACCGTTTGCGCCCCCGCCATTCTCCACAACCTTTCAAAATCGGACCTACGAATTTTTAGAATTAACCAGCGCAATGGGAACGACGCTGTTCACGATACCGATTGTGTCGACTATCGAGCACATAGCCATCGCGAAAGCCTTTGGTAACTAACCAATTTTGTCACTGTCATTTCGCCACTGCTGTTGGCCGAAGTTACGGAAAGAAAGCGAGCGTAAAACTCGAACAAAAGAAAAAGACTTTTTTTTACGTGTGTCACACGAACGCATTTGCTGTCTTTTGTCGAAAAATCTTTGCGTTTTTTTACCGCTCTATCTCTTGTTACCGGTCTCTGTTTTGTTTACACGATACATTGTTATTTTCGAGCAGCGTCGGATCGACTCTGCGTTCGTTTGACAAGAGTAATCGAACACGGATTATATTTTAGCAAAGGGCAAATCTCTGGACGCCACGCAGGAGATGATCGCTTTGGGAATCTGCAATATCTTCGGATCTTTCGTCCGCTCAATGCCGGTCACAGGATCATTCACACGAACAGCCGTCAATCACGCGTCCGGCGTGAGAACTCCTTTGGGGGGAATATTTACAGGTACGTGAGAGATTATCCGCAGAGCGACTCTACAAAAAATGTGTTTTATAATAATTTTATGTAAAAAATTTTGATTCTGAAAGATATAATATTGTGATTACACTTTTTTTGTAAAATAATTTATTTTTTCTCTTAATTTATTCGCTTATCGTATTATGTGCGGCGTTTCTCGGACGGTTGGTTTTCGTTTTTACAATCAGATTATTTCAGGTGGTCTGGTGTTGCTCGCGCTCGGTCTTCTGACCTCTACCTTCCGATTTATACCAAAAGCGGTATTAGCCGGCCTCATCATATGCGCCATGTACTACATGCTTGATTTTTCAACGTACACCTTGCTTTGGCACGCTAGAAGTAAGTTCTAAGACAAATTTCTCTCTCTCTCTCTCTCTCTCCTTTTCTCGTTTTTTATTCAACTCACCTACACACTGGTCTAACCAGTGTAGCGTCAATGGTGTACAAAGAAAACGACATTGGAGCACGAGAGCTGCCGCCCACACCCGAGTTGCATTTGCAGCGCATTTGTTCTCTCGGAAAGCCCGCGTGAAACAATAATGCTTGAACGTGTCCTTGGCTGCATTTATTGTTAAAGCGAAACGGCGTGTTGGTTTCCAACTTTTGCCGTGGGTTTCATCTGCACTTCCCCGGTAGATTCAAGAGCGTCAGAAGATAGTAAGCATCGGTGCAAACCTTGAATGCAAATGATCGATATTATTATTTTTTTTTTTTTTGCTGCGATAGAGAAGTCGAGTACAGTCATGTGAACAATTGTATTTTATTCAGCCGAAAAATCACCTGTTCTAAGTTTTCACGATACATAACTTGTGATAGACTTTAGATTTTTTTTATAATCGTATTATAAACTGATTAAAGCTAAGTGTTTCTTTTCCGCGCACTTTCAGCTCTCGAAGACAGAAAATACTACCTAATAAGTGTGGGAAAATAAACGTCTCGTCCCGACAAAACGTTCCGAATTAATACGGATCTGTTTTCGCGCAAACTTATTATAAATAAATAACGACTGAAAATCACGAAGAATATACAATAACAACGTGATCGCAACTTTACGTTTTGATGTATCAAATGAACGAAATACGTTATATAACAACAATATTATATGTGCTATTTATTATGTTAAAATACCAAGTTTGTATACATTTTACAAATATTTGTGTATTTTTACAGAGGTCGATTTCATCGTGATGATCTTGACGTTGTTTCCATGCGTCTTTCTTGGTCTGGAGTATGGAATATTAATTGGCATTTTGGTCAATTTTGTAGCGTTACTGTATTTTTCAGCAAAACCGTGCATTCAGACAAAAATTGAACAGGTAACGCAGTAATGAAAAATAAATAAATTCTTTTATTTTGTAATTTTTGATATTTTTTATAATAACGATCTCCGTATGCAGAGTATCGTGATATAACTAAGAACGAGTGTTCTTTTTCTTACGATTTACGAAACGCGAATAGAATGATGAAAGATAGTACGCGGTGTCCGATGATAACGAATATAAAGTCATCGTTCTGTCTGAAACGCAGATCGAAGGGGAAACCGTGATAGTTGTCATACCCGAAGAGGCGGTGGCTTTCCCGGCGGCGGAGCGTTTACGCGCTAGCATAATGAAGCTTTCCGGTGAGAGCGAATGCAATGTGATACTGGATTGTAAAAACCTCAAGAGGATTGACGTTACGGTCGCTAAGGTGAGGTCTTGTTCGCGATCGATGTGAAAGACGCGAATATCGGAAATAAGTTCTAAGTTCTTTGCGATAGACTCGGGAAAAAAAGGTCGCGGGCAAACAGGCACAAAAACCGTGGTAATAATAATCGAGCGGTATCGATGACGAGCGTTCCTTTATCTCACGCTCGAGTGGAATAAGAAGATTTCGCAAGTGATCTTCTTATTTCTGACTTTTTCTAAATTGCCGTTAAGAGTAAAAGAAATGAGGACATCTTATGCGTAAATACAGAGAGATTCACTATTACACGAGTTTATTCAGCGGATTCGCCGAAAGTAATTATTCCTCTGAATAATGAATACAAAACGGAATTTGAGCTACTTCGAAAAAAAAAAAAAAAAAACATGTATTCAAGAAAGTGAATTATTCCCTTTTTTTGCGTATGCAAAAGAAAACGTTCTTCTAAAGATATTAATTATATTTTATCGTGTAAAATAATTCACGGAATTTAGTGTTATATAATTAACAGAAAACCTTTTGTGTGTCTCCCGCAGAATTTGAAGCTTTTGGCAAAGGATCTGTCAGTACGTGGACAAACGATTGTCTGCAGTAATTGCTGCGAGAACATAGACGTCATTCTGAGGACCGTAGCACCGGAACTATTAAACGTCAAAGAGAACGGAGCTCATCACGGCTGAGGGAAACTCTTCCTTCAGACATCACAAAACGAGCTCATTAGAATCTGCGGATGACTACTGTGATTTAGGCGGTCACATAAGATTTAAATAAAAATACAAATTTGACTGTCAGATTCTTTCTTCTAACGCAGTGCTATTTCTCTCGAGTTGGGCAGTAAAGTATTTACTGTTCATTAAGTTGTTTGTCCGAATCGCACGCGCAATTTGTGCGGTCCAAAGAAAAAGCGCGGGAAAACGCTTGAACAAAATAGAACAAAAATAGTAGAAATGTAATGTAAACGTAGACTATGCAAGGTAATAAATAAACTTTGTTTTTACAATTCGAACGTTTCTATTCAATTGCCTCGTTAGTTCTCTCTTCTCTTAAAAAAAAGTCGAGTGTAATAACGTTCTCTTGAATCATTATCTCAATGTCATTTGTCGCTATTTTTATCGCGATGCTGATTGGTTGTTTTTGCGGTTTGCTTCGCGTAACATTGAGCCAAATAAGTTTAACAGTTTTTAATTTCGTTTCTTTAAAACAATAGTCTGTTTTCAACACAAGACGTTTCGATACTAGAATTTTGTTAAATTTTGACCCAATCTCTGATGATAACTGCCAGTGTGTTGTTCCATTGTCTCGTTTTCGCGCAAAATCCAGTAACAGATCTTGCAGTATGGTTTACAGTGAAACTTAACATGCGTAGATAGAGAAAATAAAGTGGCGATTGGTTCCTGACAGAAATTACATTTGTATTCTAAATCCCGTCGGCCTGCAACCTAAAACAATGAAAAAAGTAATAAAAATATATAATAATAATAATAACAATAATAATAAAGCCACAAAAGTCGGAAAATTCTTCAATTTTTAAATAGTTGATACATCTTTAAAAAACTCAAACAAAAGAAGGCGAGACAGAATATCTTTATTTAAGAGAGAGAAAGAGTTATCGCAACAGAATTAAATTTCGAATTTTCTAAGTAACTATTACTTACAACAGCATCACCACTACCATCATGAGCTGCTTTTTCTGGAACTACAGTATACGTCGACGTCTTCGAGCCAACATTTGGTTTTCGCTTTAGTTGTAATTGGAGTATAAATGGTCGTTTTTGTACTTCCAGCTGCAAGTATACACGTTTACTTTGACGAATCGAGACTTTACGAATCATATCAATGAGTAATAATTTTTATTTAAATTCTAATAATTGTTGGCTGTCGCATTATAGAAGCAACTTTTCAAAGTCTCTATGAGATACCTTTTTCACGGTCTGCATAGAGGTAGGAATGTCATAAATGAAGTCCTTCTTCATCATTTTTTCACTGACGTTGCGATTACACCGCAAATTGTATTTGCAAGTATCCGCCACTTTAGCAGTTGAAGATACAACCTCGACTTTTTGGAAAGCGTTCATATTTCTATGCATTTTTTTGGCGTTAGTCATTTATTTTCCTCGTGTTTATGTACGTCCGTCAATCGATCGCAAAACAAAAGCTTTGCGTTATTGTATAACATATCTACATACGCAATAATTGATTGAAAATATCAGAAATGGTTATAATAAAAATATAAATTAGTTTATTATGAAATTTATTATTTATTTTCGATATAATGATATAATTACAGATGCCTCTCAGCACTAATTTCCCATTTTACAATAATCACATCGATATAAGATTTAGCAAAACGTATCTCCTCAATATGTTACTCGTTATACGTTAATTCGCTTAAAAATGATCAGTTTCGTTTTAAGTTTCTAAATATCTTAAACCAAAGAATAAGTAAATGGTCTAAATTTGTTTCTTAAACCTACTTCGTAACAACCTCGACGTTAAAAGTGTCAAAGGACAAGATCGCGGAACCGATCCTCCAACAAGGTATCTTTACCGCGGCATTAGCGAAAATATCGCGATTTTATGTACACATTTTACGAGATACCCTAGCCATCAATATGCAGCCGTCGTCATATATATGTATATAAAGTATCTTATTAATACAAATAAAACGTCGGCAATAAATAGAATCACTTCTAAAAAGAGAAAAATATGCTACGGCGCGATGTTAATTTCGTATGACTAGAGAATCGTGGCATTGGGAGGTGATGTTAACCCTTCACACGCTTGATACAAAATAATTACGTCTTATGCCGGATGAGATCTGTGAAATCCCACCTAAAACGTTATTCTTCATCAAATATAATAACATCATGAATTTTTACGAATATTACGCGAATATTTTTAGAAATAAAAATTTAAATAAATATATTTTGCTTTAAAATAAAAATATTTTGCTTTGATTAATTAACTGAGAAAAAATATAGAAAGAACTCAAAAATTTTCCATCACATTTATAACACAAAATAAATTTCCACTTAGATTTTTTAGATTTTGCACATTTTGAAATAAGATATGGAGTCGCTCACAAATGCCATCACACTGTAAAAAAAAGTCTGAATTATCATACACTACTAATAACAAAAATGTACAAAATCATGCAGTTTACACATGACGCGTATGTAAATTGACAAAACTTCGTACGTTTTTGTTATTAAAATCACGTAATATTTACATTTAATCTTTTTGTAAATCTACAGATTTTTGTGTACAACGTGTACTTTGTTTTACAGTACATGCAAGTGAAGGGTTAAAAGTATTTCGACACTTAAATAACGCGTTTGTCTCTAGTAAACATAAAAATAGTATTTTAACGTTTTTTGACTTTTTATCGGAGAACTATGTACTAGAGTCTTTACAATCAACTCATTTATGTGTAAAATATTCTAAATTTGTTATTTGATGCATTTTTGACATATCCTTTTAAAACAACAAAGATTTGACTTTCAAATCAATTTTGTCTGTATAACTTAGATTATAAACCGACGCGACGATTTCAATAACGTGACAAGCACAAGTTGTCTCATTTTTTCGTTGGAGCAAACATGATACGAATTGTTCCCAGAACTTGTGTTGTCAACAATTTCGCGCCGGTCTAAACGTAACTTTATCGAATGACAAACCAATGTTTGTTGGAATCTGCTATTGTCAAAACATAAAAAAGGATGAATGTTAAGCATGGATACTTTACGTATAAAATGTAAACTTTTAGATAGGCCTTTGACATTAAGAATAGGCATTATTAAATCGTTGGCCACATGTAGAGAAAAAAGAGACGTAGAGAGAGAGGAAGGAAATATACATATACTCTCTCTCTATCAGTATTACCATAAAAATATTTAGAAGACGTAATTATTAGATGTATATAACACCAGAGTGTCCACACGATTTCACTCTTGAGTGCATTGCGACTACTTATACTTATTATCGGAAGCTCGGAAGTTATAGTCTCTTACCAAATTTGTTTTAACGAACAAGTGGTCAAACGTCAAATAACTTCCTAGCTTTGCTTATTGTAAAAGAAATCATGGACTTATTACAATAAAACAGAGATACAAATCACTTTATTCCGTTAAAAAATGACGATTATTGCGCGATTTGGACGCTATTTAAATGAACTTTGAAGCGTAGTGTTAGGATTCTCTGTTCTTTCTCAAAGACGAGTCTTGGTGTAACAAGAGCGGTACTCTTTCTTGCCTAACCTCGGGAAGAGACGCTAACTCTTGAGCCGGACTTCGCTGCCATATACTTCTAGTAGCCATTTCCTGGTAACCTCTTCTTCTTACCTGAGGAGAATGAAGGACACACGTATGATCACTCCATCTCGCTTATTGTTATGACGCACTTTAAAACGCTGATTGCATCGCAAAGACACTTACTTGTCTATGATGAAGCTCGTGCAGGTACAATGTAGACAAAGACATGTCGGCAGCGGTTAATTCCGTAGGTGCAGACGGATCTGTATACATTCCTAAAATATAACTGTGCCCAGATCCAAAGACTGAAGCACCTAACGACTGATTCGATATGCCTTGCAAATCGTACAGGAATCCTCTTTCATTATGCAATGGACCTTCTGTCCTGGACACACCGCGACGTACGGTAGATCTCGCGCTGGACGATCGATCAATTCCACCTGCCATTTGCGTGGCGGACGTGCCCGGTTGAACGAAAATGTTACTTATACTGGGTACACTGGTTTGATTTATCGTGCTCCGAATGATGTTCGATACGTGCTCCTTGTACTGCAACAGCATATCGGCATATCGATAATACACAAAGTAAATAGTGTTATTATAGTGTATAAAAAATATTCAGTCATGCATATTCAGATAAAAAACAAACTATGCTAAATAAACATTTGCGTATAGCAATACAACAAAAATGATTTCAAAAAAGAAATAGACATAAATAAAAATATATGTATGAAATATATATATACTTACACCAATATCGGACAAGCTGTTTAAGCTAGCTATCAAGGGATTATTATTAGGACTCGCAGTCACTTCCTTCCTAGCTCTTTCTCTTAAAGCGTTCACGAAAGTCTCCCCGTGAGATGGCGGTTTCCATTCCGGGTTTGTCAGAGTGAAATGTATGAGAGACAGTTCGGTTTTGCCGTCTTCGGCCTGAGTATAATGATCCGACATCGGTACGTGATATTTGTCCAAATCAACGCCGTATTGATTGTCATAACCCGCACTACTTTCACCGGGCAGTGGAGAAACCGAAGTAGGACTGTGCGCTACAGTTTGCCACATAAGGTTGCCATGTTTCCGCACATCCATCTGAGCGAAACTACACACGTCACCAACTCCGGCAACTTCGATAGTGAAATTACGAAAAAAGTCTACGATCTCTAAAGCTTGATGTCTCATACGGAAGCATAGAATGTACGTTGTCACAAACGGAGAAACCAACTCTTCCAGAAGATGTACCGCTCGATACTGAAATAATTGTGCCACTTGTGACCTCGTAGTCTGCGTATGAGCGGTTCCTTGCCAACTATCCGGTCTGTAGTGTGTGTGGGCTAGCACAGCGGTTAAAAGAGTCTCAGGATGCCAGACCATATTCTCATCCGGTATGACTGAATTCGCGGTTGCCACCACAGCACCGAGTATTGTCATACTGGCAACCACATGCTCCATGAAAAATATTGGCTCGAAGAGCAACGTTATGATCAACAACACAGAGAAGACGGTGCCGGAGACAAACGCGACATGTTTCGCGATCACCGTCATTACCGGGGATGTAAAGCTGCTCATGTATTTGGACGCGGGACGATACGCACGACTGAGACGCGCGTTTAATTCGTGATCGAGTTCGTTGAAGTGACGTAGATATAGCCGACCATACAAGGACCACGTTCGCATTGCCAAAAAGCTGGGCTCTCGTTTAATAGTCTGTCAAGATAAAAATTTTATTCATATATTGCACGCTGGAAAAGTTTAATATTGACAAAATTTTAATATTTACAAATAACTACTCACCGGAGCATAATTGAAGATTGTATAAAGAAGCTGCCATATTAGAATGGGAATACACAAAACAAAATTTGCGACACCAACCCATAAGATGTGCTTGGACAACTTACGTGCGAGTTCTTGCCTCTTATTCAATTTTTTGTAATCTTCCTTAAGATGCCAATTATTTTCGAATGGTGACCAAGGTCCCCCTAGATAATCAAAATAGAGATGATTATATTTGTAAAAAAACAAAATCAAATGTTAATCATTGCGTACAAGCGCGTATATACTTACAAAACAACAACAATTCTATATTATATTTCAATCCTCGAGTCAAGAAAATAACTTCTCCTATGATCGGGACTTTTAGTCGAATAGGTAATAGAGATTTGTTTGTCATAGCCACCATATAATTTTTATGCCTTAATATTCTATGGTATATATCCAGTTCCGTAAGTTCTCTCTTATGAATGCACATTTCCTGCTCTTTTTGTACCTCTATCACCCGTTTCTGTACCTCGTGCCAAGTAAAATTGTCTAACTCGTTATCGGCGATTTTGAGCGCTGTGTTGAAGAACATTTTGATTTCCCAGAACTGCGACGAGTTATATAAGAGTTTGACTAACTGGAGAACAAAGAAAATCTTCGCGACTACGATGAGAATCCAAAATCCGAAAGAGATCGACTTTATGCACTCTCCCGTACCTTTTATGTAGTCGCTCAAGTGACTTGTGCTATTAGCATAATTAAATCTATCACTGAAAACATAATGCAACACAATTAAAACGTTTTTTTTTTTTTTTCAAGTAAAACAATTCACAAGCATCTAACGGGACTACCTACGTACTTATACAATTTGCTGTAATCGACGCAGTTAGAGAGAAATATAAGGAAAACTGCTACAAAAAAGAATTGCACTAAACCAAAACTTTCTTGGAGCATCATACAGAGAAAGCCGTGCTGCTGATGATAGTGGTACATTCGTGTGAAAAATGAGTCCAGATCTTCAATGTGATTCCAACGCGCCTTGTTTCCCTCTGGCACAACGTGAATCATGACCCCTGATTCTTGAGGCGTCTCTTCATGTTCATCTTCCTCATCCCCGTCATCCGCCTGCCCCTCATAAGGGTGCATGCGTTGATAGCTACCGTCCAGTATCGTTGTCATCTGCAAATGCACACAATACGCGCTCAAACTACATAAAGGTTTTTAGATTAATAAATTCTGTTCAAAATATTCAGTAAATAAATTAAAATTCAAGTAAATTAAGAAAAAATAAATATTTAGAAATTAATTTTATGAGATTTACAAAAGTCAAAATTATTTTTAAAAATTTATTGCAGAAAAAAATTGCTATATGCGTTGCAATTGACTGAAACTCGACTTACAACCACTTACCGTTTCGGCTCGTCGATTTGGCTCCACACAGGTAATGACAGTTTCTCGTTTCATTCTTTCATTTCATTAAATTTATTTAGCTACCATTTGATGATTGTGTCGCTAGCATCTAAAATACAAGTTGTTGAATTAATTTATAGCGGGACTGATTGTAAATAAAATAAATCTAATTCTACCGAACAATGGCTTATATCTTTATGAATAATGCTTGATTTTATTATTTATCATAATATTGTGCAAACACAAATGATTCATGTCCTAAATAAACATTCCATGTATATATTTTCTTTGTTATTGTTTTACAATTTTCTTCAGTGTGCCTCTTATCACAAGATTATTATCTTTATTGATTGCTCAATCCATTATTTGTAAAAGTGTACATTCTTCAAAATATTTCTATTTTCAATAACGTATGACACACATATATACTTCTTTACCACTCACTTCTTTTTTCTCTTTCTCCGTCATTAACAATAATTACATGTTAATGCAACCTACTTAAAGCAGCCACAGCACAAAGCCAGAATCTTCGATATCATAAAAAATGTGATGCACACACGTACAAAAAAAAAAAAATAAAAAACAGAACTCACAAAAGAAGTATATTAACAATTAAAGAAATATAATAGCATTTATGACGCGATAAATCACAGGAAGATAGCAGTTCAAGATCATAAATTATTCGTCACAAGTGTTAATTAGGACGGAAGACTTTTTCTCATATCCTTCTTCTTTTTCATTTCGGAACGGTATTTTTTTCACAGTTCCCTCGGAGGAACAATGACGCGATGCCACTGGTTGTCGTAAGCGCGACATTCGTCGCTTTGTCTTCCAACATTCCGCTGACCTTTATCCGACGAAAATAGCCAGCGTTGCTTGCTGATCGCGGGAGCGCGCGTAACAGGAAGAGTGACGCGATATGTTTGGGAGCACAGCTGATCTCCATAAACAAAGCGCAGCCTGATTTTGCATACCTTCGAGCCGCGATTCCACGGGCGACGTGCCACGATGAATCTCAGACGATGTACCTATACACACCTGCTGATTAAGCGCGACTGCCCGATTATTACATACTGATCGTCACGCGTGCGATTATTCACTGTCAATTTGGACATCGGAGTATTAAATGTCTGTCATCTCGCGTTTCACCATCTTTGCCAGACCACCTTTTCCTTTCTGTAACTCGGCGCTGCACGCACGCGCCGAGCGGCTCGACGCGGAACGCAAGCAACGAATTTGTTCCGAATCGATCGATTAAGTTGGTTTCTATGTTGATGTAGTCGATAACACAGAGAAATGTTTTGTGTAATTTAATTAACTTAATTTTTTACTTTTTAATTGTTAATGTATTTTATTTCTTTTTTATCTGAATTGGTTTAGTTTGCTTAATTCAACGTGCGCATCAATCTCTGCACGGACATTTATATATTTTCGTTTCAGGATTAAATCTTTTTCTCATTAGGATTAAATAAAAAAAAATACAACACAATTATCTAACTTTATATATATATATATATATATATATATATATATGTATGTTTAATTGCAGTATTTACAGTGTATCTTGGAACAGTGTAATTACAAAAGTGTTCTTACGCAATATAATAGTCCTAAACTCTATATCTGCAAAAAAGGATGTTACATACAAATATATGCACGCATTTATATATGCATATATTATGTGTGTTTAAACAAAAATATTATATCTACTTCTATAATCTCTCTCGCAAGTGGTAAAATTATGTTAAATAAAACTTGCGTCGAATTAATTAAATATGTACGATTACATTTATATCGCAGCATACTGAGATATGTGTATTTGAAACTATTTTGTTTACGTTATTTTAAATTATAATTACGATTGTGCCATTATCGGCACGCGTGTAAATGTTGAAAATTTTCATTTTTATCAATATTATCACTTGTCCTCAGATATCTCGTCGAAAAAAATATTTCGTTTCTCTCGAATTACGCTAATTAGCGTACAATATACGTCAAAACGTATACATACTTATCGTACGACAATGTCATTAACGTATATCATCACGTATCTTAATTACATGTAATATATTCAAACGCGATCGACAAATAGCATTTTACGAACTTGATTCTTCAAAAGAATCCATTCTCGCAAGAGACTATATATGTACACTTGCCAGTTTCGTCATAAGATGCGCGAGATGCCGTGTTCTGCGATTAAACAAAATAGAAAAAAAAAAATAAAAAAATAAAAAAATAGTAGGACGAAGAGGATTTGTAGAAAGTCTGTGGATCTAGATTGCGTCCGAAAAGAAAAATTAGTGTCTAGCACATCTTCAAGAAATAACGTGATACCTAATTTATATCCTCTTCTTGTGTTTTCGCATCTCAATAATAATCAGAGTGTTTGGTATTAGCGGCTTCAAGAACGACGGTTCGTCCTTTATTCCCGCGCGATTATCTGACCCGGACGTCGCGTCGGAGTGATCCTGCGTCGAGTCGCCAGGAGACCGCCGAGACCACGTGTCTCCTCGTGCTTTGTGCTGGCCGCCGTGCTTGTCTCGACGGAGGTCGCCTCGGTGGATTCCGTCTCTTCTGAGACGGCCTCCTCCTCGGGAGCGGCGGCATCTTCCTGGCTCGACTGGACCACCGGCGCCTCGGTCACTTTGCGTCGCGGCAGCAACGGCGATCTCCTGATCGCTGGCGGCAACGGCGACTTTGTTGTTGTCTTCGGATGCACCTGTAGTCGGTTGCGGTTACGCAGTTTGTTCAGAGGATTCGACGTGGTCGTGCGCGCTGGGGGACTGGTTTCCGCTGGTGCCTGAGAGAAACAAAGATCTATTAACTAAATGGCACAAGTTTTAATGAGAGCGTTGTTAGAAAGTAGGAAGTTGCCGGCAAAAGATGTCTCGACGAGAGAAAGACGACTACAATTAGGAGAATAAATCTCTCAGACTCAACACAATGGAGAGCTTTTGCAATAAATTCCAAAGTATACGAAGACGTGTGTGATTTTTGCAAATTCGAATGTTTAATTGTTAATATATTGTTTTGCGGTTAAATTCGTTCTCACGAAGTCGTAAAGAGAGAAATTTTAAGAAAGTATGTATATATGTATATGTTTGTTGTAAATGTTACAGAAATATCTTTACGTGAATTCCGATATCTTCTTTTTTCTTTCCTTCTTTCTTTCGTATTTCTGCGTGCTAACCAAAAGTCAGCACTCACGACAATCGCGAGGTCGTAAAGTTGAAAGTTAAAAAGCCGGTCGCGGGCGCGTCGACTCGTTGATGACATTTTGAAAGGCCATCCAGTGAAAGTAAACTCCAAGAGGGAACTTAGCCGAGTGACATCACGAGTGTCCTCGTACCTAATCTCGCACTTATACACGTACTACACCCGAGGCAGAATTTCAGATTTGACCTTATCTTCAGCACGCTTTGTCAATCGATTTCTGCTTGATTACAGTTTGTTCGACAACAGACGCGTTTGTTGAAAACAATATCGCTTTCTATTTCCACGTGATTTTATAAATCCATTGATACAAAAAAAAAAAAAAAAAATTAATGGACATATAACATGAAAATATTTTTAAAAAATTATTTTTTTTGTGATAATAAAGATAGTAATAACATTTGTTGCTTGATTTCTTGCACTTAACACACGGCGATGCATTTCAGATGTGTTCAAAATGGTTAAGTTCGTCAATAATAAACGAGAGTTAAATAAAATTTTATTAAAAAAATACGATCACAATTTTGAAGGATAAAAATAAGGTACCAACCTCGTGGGTCTCTTCTTCAGTTCCCTCTCCAGCCGGTTCCTCGACGGACGTTTCGGCGGCTTCCGGCGCGATCGTCGTGGTCGTCGTCTGACCCGGTTTTTGCCTCGGGTTGATCCTAGCACCCGGTCTAATGACGGCAGGTCTGATCGCGGGCGAGCCAGGAAGTCGCGGACGAACAGCAGATTTTGTAACGGTTTCTGGCGCGGTTTGCGCGACAGTCTGGCCAGTGGATTCGGACTGCGTCGCTCCTTCCTGCGCGGACTCCTCGCTTCCCGGCGCCGATGTGGTTGGTCGTCCGCGTCTTCGATTGCCGATGTTCAGCTTGTTGAAGGTGGGTCTAGTCGCCGCGGAGCCATTCGACGCCGTCGAGCCGCTGTTCAACGGCGCCGACGTTGTCGTCGAGACGGCGGTTCTACCTCCGGAAGGCGTGCGAAATCTGCCGCGACCGGCCGACGGCTTTTCCGCGTTTGCCGAGTTTGCGCTTTCTTTCTGCACGGTATCTTCTTCAATCGGTTTGTGATTACCTCCTGGTCGGGGTCGTTTGAATCCGTTTCCGTTCGAGCCGTTGCCGCCGAAGCGTCCTCGAGTTCTTTGCGTCGGTTCCGACACGGATGCTTCCGTTGTCGTACTGCTGCCGCCGTTGGTTTTAAATCTACGAGAGAACGCGAAGTTGAAAATAATTAAAAATTAGAAATAATTAGAGAGAAAGAGAAAGATGATAAGAATTTAACACAAACGCTAAGTGAAAACAATAAGTTCAATCGTACCGATTTCTCGAGACGGCTGGACTGACGAGAGTTCCAGGTCGCCGGAACTTTCCTCTTCCCGCAGGAGCTTGAGTGGTGGTGGTTGGCGGTTCCGTTGTCGTCGTTGTTGTAGTTGTGGGCTCGGTAGTCGTTGTCGTCGTCGTCGTTGTCGTTGTTGTCGTAGTGCTAGGACTAGACTCGGCAGCGATCGTAGTATCGAATTCCGTTGTGGTCAACAAATCGGTCGTAATCTCGTCGGCGAGAGTCGTACTGTCAGCTGCCGTTTCGTCAGTTTCGCTGCTAGACGCGTCTATCAGATTGCTCTGTCCTTGTTGAAGAAAGGCATAAAGATCCAATGCGACTTTGTCCATAACCGATGGATATTCCGTCGTTGGATTGTCCGTAGTGTCAGCGATAGGAGAAATCGGCGAAGTTTCTGTTTCAGTGGACTCTTGCGTCTTATCTTCTAAAGATACGCGGATCTTGATGGAGGGTTTCTCCGACGAAGAAGCACTTTCCTCTTCCTCGGCTTCTTCCTGGCTGGAGCGCACAGGTTGTCCTCTACTCAGTTCAACTCCGATCTAAAAATTTATCGATAGATACGTTTGTTTTACTATCGTGGCTAGAAAAAAAACTGTATCGCTACTTTAGAAATGATTATCCGAATACAATTTAGTTAATTACTTCAGGCGCTATCGTGCTGCTCGGACGTCTTCTGGTAACAAGTAGCGGCGCATCATCGGCCGCTTCTTCCACGGGGGCGGGTTCTTGAACCTTCTGCGGTCTTCCGCGATTTCTGATCGAAGGTTTCTCCTCGCTATCCTCATTTGGCGTGACGCCCAAGAATCTAACGGGTCCTTTCGGCAAGGTTTGCGGAAATTCGGGACCTTCCTGATGAGTACGGAAACTGCTCGAGTCCACCAGGTCCAGACTCGGTCGCGGTCGGTTGCCGCGCGATCGCGAGGATTCCGTCGTGCCCGTGTTGTGATTCGATCGCGATCTGTTAACAAAATTGCAATTGCGCTCTGCGTCGCTTTTTCCTCTTCTGTTTTTTCTTCACATTGCGTTGATTATTAATTGATTATCAATATCGAATATACCTTGGCGGGAAGCGAGTATTCGCGGGTAACCTTTCCTCGGACACGTCCTCGGTTTCGACCAGTTGTCTGCCCCGATTGCCGTTTCTATTCGGAATGACCTCGTTGTTGCTGGGCTCCACCGTGCTCGATCTCTCCACGGTGTTGTACTTGTTTCTGTTGTTCACTGTGCTTCCTCGTCTGGGCGAGGCGGTCGTTCTGGCGGAAACATCGTAAGAATTCGTCACAGCCGAACCTTCTGTGCCCGCTTTGTTTTCATCCTCCTCGTCGTAGTAATAATATACGTACTCGTATTCGTAGTCCTTGCCGTTCGGTCCTTTCTTCACCTGTTGGGTATAAAACAAATTTAATAATTTATCATATTACATATATAATTAGAAAAAATCGTTCAAAAATTCCACACGTAAGAATTTGGTTTTTTTTCACATAAATATACTTGAGACTCATTTGACATTGAAGTTATATTAAGTTATTTAACAATTATTTAATTAAATACTGAGTGGGAATGTAAATTTATTATTCACATGCGTAAATAACAATATATACCTGAATACGAGAATTCGTACCAGCCGGCACCAAACTCACGTCGCCCAAGTCGCCAAAGTTGGCGTCAGAAAAATGAGCGTAGCCATCTTTGCTATCTTCGCGGATAATGTTCACGGGAACAAAGTCGAACGAGCTGTCTTTGCCACGTGCTTCGCGCGGAGTTGTCAGAATTGGTAGCATGGTTGTTGGATATTCCGCGCTGAAAAGATGAATTGTTTTTGTAAAAATTAAACAATTATCACACACACTTACGTTGAAATGTTACTCGATATTATTTACAGAATAAAAAGATTTTTTAAATAAGAATAGAAGGTTGGAATTTTTTTTTTTGAAATGCTACCAAAGTTATTCACGTATATTTGTGCAAACGAGTTACAAAACCGCTTCACCTGACGTAGACACCCGGAATAACTTCATCTTGTTCGCTCGGACGCGGCCGTTTAGAATCAACTTTTCTTGTTCTTTCATCCTGCAGAACCTTTCCGGTGTCGCTAAAATTCTCGAGCTCCACTCGTGCTTGTCTTTTATCGGCAAAACTCTCCGAATCGTCTTCCTCCGAGTCAAAACGCCTGGCAGGTTCGAAGGCGGCAATTGCTTTTTTGTCGATATTCTCGAATTTTTGTATTACTTTTTTAGGCTTATTATCTTTAAGCGCAATTTTCTTTTCGTCGTCATATTCGTCGTCATCCTCCGTTGGTCTCGCTACGTTTTCCGGCAATTTGTGCGACGATACAAATTCTGAAAGTACGTCAAGAATTGAAGAAAATTTGTAGACGAATTTTTTTGTCACTAATAAGTCGAAAAATTTGTTCTCGTTTGTGTAATATCAAAATTTGCATTACTTGTTTACGATCTTTATTTGTATTAATGTGTTTTGTTTGAATCAAGATGAGTACCTTGAATTGGAATGGCTCGGGGAGGCTGATATGTCGTTGGTGCGACATTTTTCGCTCGAGTTAAGCTGTCACCAGATATCTGCACGATATCCGAGCTGCCAGCTAGCGTATACGCGATGACGCTACATATTCTGCAAATTCGAAAAAGTAAAAGATGAAATATAAAATAGCAAAGTAGATAGATTGTGATAAATACTTGGAACATAGAGATAAAGAGAAAATTGTGTATAAAGTATGTATATCAGCGAAAGTGATAAGACGCACGAGAGGTGCAACGTGAAGGGTAAAGTGTAAAACGACGACGGAATGCGTATAGCTAATACAAGAAGGCTTGATGTGGTGAAAGTTCACATCTGGTTGGTACACGCTGCATCCGTCTCGTCTGGTTCTCCCGGTCGAACCGCGCTCGGTTCCCTCACACCCGTTATGCGAAAATTACATCCCATCCACGACAATGCAAAACTCGCGTGCCGTAAACAGAAATATTTCAGCAAAAAAGAAAAGAAAATAAATTTATGCGTCTGGTAATTTATTGTTAGTTAAATTGCAAAGAAAAAAGAAACATTGATCGTAAGGCCAGCCACCGACGTGTCTCCGGATACCAGTACCCGCGACCTCGTTCCCTTTTTTCTCAAGGTTGTCGAAATCGATAATTACGAGGTATCGCACAAAGAATTCTTGAAGAGTTGGTGAACTTTCAACGCTTTAACATTCGCCTATTCCCATATTGCAATCATCGCCACTAACCCTTTGACATTTCTTTGTTTCTTAAAACGTGTGAATAATATTTTTTCAAAAAAAAACAAGAGAGAGAGAGAGAGTGAGAGTGTGTGAGAGAGATAGAAAGGGAGACGATTTAAACGAGGTCGAAGAAAACTCGCGAGACAGTAACAATCTCGATTTCATGACGTCGCATTTACAAGGACAATCACTCATAATCAATTTCCTGCATGCGAGAGTAAGAAAGCTGCTTGCTAGCAAATTATTATTTGACAAAACAACAGTTTATATGATTACGAAATCGGCGTCTTAAAAATGAAATCCCGAAGTAATACTAAATACGGTCATTTAACGCGAAATCATTAGAGTGTGACTCATGCATTTTAATATTTTATAAAGATTTTATATAACATTTTCGTATTATTATAATTTTCGCCGATGTTGTCACGTTTATGTTAAAAAGAGAGAAATGCAAAATAAAAGAAATAAAAATTCTTATCGCAGCATCACGCGTTTTCTGTCACACACATGATTCTTCCACTTTTTCTTCTTCCACCACAGTCACGTTTTCAATTTTTTTGTCACTTTAGAGAACGTTTCGATTTTTTATCACATCGTCGTAACCACACGACTTATTAAGTCGCCGTAAGAAGAGAAATGAGTCTACGACATTTGCAACAGGAAACTGCCGATGAATGTGCGCCGACAAACACCGTTCCGTTCGAGCGGTCTTCCGGTGCTGGAATAAGTTACAACCGGAATACATTTGCAAAAATAAAGCAGAACGAATGTTAAAACACGTTCCTTCCCACCTTCTCGTCTCGTTGCGATCGTGTCAAAGGATAGTAAATATAGATTAGTGTGTAAAACGACATTTATAAACCTGTTTATATGATTTCTGTTCGGCCGGCGAAGGTGTTTCATATGTAAGTAAAACTTTCGAAATTGGCAATAAAGAAAGCAAAAAGATCAAGCGGACCCATCCTGTAGCTTAATCTTAGAACTGAGAATATGCAGATTTAATGTGTAGGAATTTATCGCGAAACCATATGGAGAAAGCGGTCTCGCTTACGAGCGTGTATATGCATAAACATACTGCGCGTACACACGTAGGTATCTCCAGTGGCACGAGACACACTGGAACATTACGTAAGTCTCAACAACATTACCGCAAAAGTCTATTACCAAGTCGTAAATAATTTTTTTGCGCCGCCTACAAAATTCACCCTCTGCGCGCGTGTATGTGCGTGCTTCACGCATAAATTATGCTAAAAATCAGTTGAGGAAACATGGAAAAACCCTGGTGGCTTAGTTCACCGCGCTTCTATCTTTTTATTTCGCAAAGTACGAAAAAATATTTATCAAAAGATGTGTGACGATTCAATTTGAATCTATTTTCCCCAAATTTTATATAATTGTACAAGTATTTTTAAGTTCCACAGTCTTCATAAATATCGTGCTGATGAAGTTAACTAAGTTGTCATAAAATTGAAATGCCGGCAATGAGATACTTAAAGAGCGATGATCTACTATAATTTGAACTTTCTACCGTATGTAGTTCAGCTTTAAACTCAATGTTTTGAATTACGCGTATAAATATAAACTATTACGTAAAAGCGCTCGATAATTAAATTACGATAATTGGTGTGCAATTTAAAAAAAAATAAAATTTCATCTGATCTAGAGAGAAATATAACAAAGTGCTGCTAAACAACTGTGCTTCAGAAAACGAGAAAAGCGTTGTAAATTTATATATTTGCGACGCTCTCCCTATGTGGGTTGAAAGTAATGCGAATCTTCAAGGCGCACATATTTGTCTAACCATTAGTTGGCTTTCCGACTTTGCAATAAGTTTCTTTCAAAAATCTTCTGAGAGCACGTGAGATCAAATGTGGGATCTGTTTAATATTTTATATAATCCGGCTTCTTGTCCGGGCGCGGAACAATAATCTAGCAGCAAAAAATATATAACACGATTAAAGAATTATTTTAATATATTGAAACAAGACAATAATTTAATAAAATTTATCTTAGTTTATCAAAGTTTATTAAAGTTTTATATCATACGTGTGTGTGTGTGTATATCTTTTATACTGTCTCTGATATAGGGTATAATCACATTATCGTAAGTCATGATCTGATCGGACTGATTTCTACTTTTGGATCGTCAGGTTAAAATCGAGGACAATGTCTGGAAGTTTCTCTGAAAATCATAAATCATATATGCACAGTCTTCTGAATGAAACTGCGAGTAATCTGCGTATCTAAAACTTGTGAATTGCTGATTGCGCGCACCTTTCGCTACGATAACTCTCGTAACTCCGAGAAGCGTAATATCTCTTGCCCGTGAAAATTGTTATTTTTTAACGGATCGTTAATCATTTATGATCATTAACGATGATTGAATCTGCTCTTTAAGAAATTTCTTCGAACAAAAAAGTGTTTTCACTATTAATCGCATATAAACAGATCAGAACTGATAAAGAACGATGTTACGTGAGTAATGGTGATATTTTTCTGATACAATTATTTCATTGCCAATAGAATTACTTATTTGAAACAATTTTTATCTTCTTCAAAAGATCGAGAAATCGATATTAGGATAATGATCTCTCGAACGCTTTAATGCGTTATTTGCCACACGCTACGATTTGGTTTTTTGTTAGAGACAGGTAGAGATTAAATCCTCACATCATACGCTCATCACTCAGATATCGTCGCTCTTTCGCACCCAATAAGTGTCGATTCTGAGTACTCACAAGAACACGCTTTTTAGCCACATGTCGGCACTGCACAGTTCTCTTCCTCGTTCTATTCGCCTCTCCTCTTGTCCCGCTTCTATCGAACGTGAACAGCTGGTTCAGTCGAAGTGAACGAAACTCTCGTCGGCGAATATCAATACGTGCACTCTCGACAATATCGATACAAGTTTTCTCTGTCTGCGGGGGACTACCGTTCTAAGCGTAATGTACATATATATACGTATCGTCACCGGACACTCGCGATCATCTCTCTGCCCTCTTCTCGACCGACACTCGTCCTCCAGCTGCACGCGACGAGGATCTCCAGGCGGCCGCTGCTGATGCCTTCACCGGCTGGTGGTCGGCCCGATTCCTCAGAACGTTACAACGTTGTACTATACGTGCGCTTCGCGCGCGACGTGATCCAGCTTCTCGCTGACGCGATTTGGACGACGAGGCGCGAAACGAATGAGCGAACGAACGAATGAACGGCGAGTCAAACGCACCGTGACAGAAGGAGAGATGTCGAGTGAGAGTACGCGTGTGCGTGCGAGAAAAGGAAAGAGAGAAAAGGAGAAAAAAAGTGGAAAAAGGGGCACTAAGTAAAAGTAAGAGGTAGCCGAAGGACGTGGTGAGGGTATGAGAACGGTGGCGAATGCAAGCCTCTACTTATACCGCCACCCACCACGGCCACTTGGAGAGCACCCCACCAGCCCATGAAAAGTGGACACCACGTAGTCGAACCCGACTCGGCTTGGCACACTCGATCTATACACCGGGGGCCATCGGGGACCCGGGAGATCCTGGCTGGTTGTGCTCGCGCGTTCGTGCTGGCGCCTCAGCTCGCTCGACTTCTCCCGCCGCAAACGTCTGACCCAACTCTCGCGAAGCATTGTCCGCGCGGGTTCTCTCTCTCTTTCTCTCTCTTCTTATCTTTTCGATTTAAAGATACGTTCTATGATTTACATATAAAAGTGATTGACGCGACAAAATATATTTAAAATACGACGTATTGTTATTTAAAAAAAACAATTGACAATTACATAGACGGAACTCGAAAAATGCTAATAATAAATACTTTCTGTTGATGCACTAAAATTTCTTCTCTATGTGATGCAAATTACGTCAATAATGTTTTACTCATGCATAATATCCGTTAAACCATATGGTATTCGTTTTCTTCTCTTTCTCTCTCTCTCTCTCTCTCTCTCTCTCTCTCTCTCTCTCTCTCTTGAGAAATTTCCCTGATTGCCCGTCTAGAGACCTCGCGAAGATTTCGAGGAACGTTTTAATTAGCACACGGATGCTTTCACAATATGCAACCTCGCTTGAATCACGCAAAGAGTACATCAGAAAGGCGGTTCCTGCGATTAGAAACGCGGACCTGATCGCGGCAAAACGGCGACAAAATGAGAAGCGGAGTAACGAGACCATAAAACGCATAGAATTGACAGGTTCTTTTCCTCGCGGCGACAAACTAGCGAAGCGCGATTCCGCTATTCCGTCGCGGCGTTACCGCGAGAGCGAAACGTGCTTGAAAGGATCGATAATCTTTATTGAGGCCGTTGCATAAGTCGCTGCTGCATCTTCACTTCCTCCTACACGCGGCTAAAAAGAGATATCGGAGTTCTTATTTCGCTCGCTGAAGTCATCACGCTCTCGTTGATCCCGCGAGAGTGATGCGAGCAAAATTACACGAAACTTCCCGAATTTTTGTTAACGTTCAGCGAGGATGGCGCGCGTCGATTCGCTACCGTAGGTGTCAAGGCCTAGTGAAACCGAGACATAGTCGTATAAATTATCCAACACCCCGAAGCGCCGAGAACCAGAAGGCAGCTGCGGCGTAAAGGTCTTTGCGTCTCATTGCGCAAGAAGAATGTCGCTCCATTAGGACCCGCTTCGGGTCGCGATAATCCAACGAGCGAACGCTGAGAATATCGAACAGAATTGACACACTTTGCTCGTGTTCAGGATGGAAATCGCGACGGAACAAAGGTGTTCAATTTTAAAGAAAACGCGCGCATCAAATTCAAAGCTGTTCGCTAAACTTTCGTGGGCGTATCTAAAACAAGATCGAACTTTTTGGACCCTCATCATGTCTTTTCGCTCCTGAAAACATCGTCGAGACATCGGTCGTACAAGTGTCGCGAGTAGTTGGTCAGATTGTTAATCGAGTGTTTCTACATTGCTTGTACACACACACACACTCGATACGCAGATACAGAAGACACAAGTCTTGGAGATAATTCTCCGTAGGCGTATATACGTGTATATATAGCAAACGGTGCATGTGTGTGTGTGCGCGCGCGCGCGCTGTGTAACTGTGCACGTGTATCTACGAGACTTTCTCTCTCGACATGGAGAGCACCCGTGCTCGCTTCTCGGTTATAGGCAAGCGCGCGAAACACGGGAGAACAATGTCTTTTTTGCTGGGTTATTACATCGCGAATGGGGTGACATAACATGCCGGTGTGGTTCAATCGTCGAAACAAGCGCCTCGGCACGTAGACGAACGTAACGTTAAAATATTGCGTTGTTCACCGTCTCGGAACGTTGGGACGTCGCGAAAACTTCGTACACCGCAGTCCCACCGAAATCCGCGAGATCTCGTTCTTCACAATGTGCGAAGCGAGAATAGTGAAGCAATCCGAGCAGAAGCAAAGAGTCCAACTTGATTGTTACTTCGCTCTCTCTCTCTCTCTCTTTCTATCTATCTATCTATCTCTCTTTGTCGCCGATGTAATTGCGGAATGTACATCAATCTCCCTTGTCTTTTCGCAAGAGAAATAAACGCCTCGGTGTCTTCGAAATTTAACTGAACTTATGCGACTTAATTCCTGTCATATTGCAAGCATCACGAACACATGTTGATAATTTTTTATTGTTCCTGTTTTATTCTTCGTTCGGAAACGTTTACATTTATATGAATACGCGCGATTGATACCTGAGATAATACTCATTCAATAACGGGAAGACGTTTTATAACGTCTAGTGTATGTATGTGTGTATGTGTGTAATGATTACAGTTTGTATATACATATATAGACATTGAATTAGCTCGGAAACGATTGCCATTCATCGCGACACGTACTGTATCCGCTGCAGCAACACGACGGACCTTCTACTTGCGAGTCGAAGGCTAAATACGGCTGGTCATTGACTGCGTGCTGCGAACACGCTTCTGGTGCAGGCTTGCACGTGAAAATTGTCCGTGTCCAAGCGGCCTTGTCGAATAATAATTATCTCCTCTCTCGTTGACGGGACCGCGATCGCTTGAAGACAAGCGAACCACACAGAAGAGAAAAAAAAAAAAGTCTCAGGGACACGGACTTACCGGAATATCGTAGTGAAATTTCTCTGTCTGGCACTTGTCTCATAGCTGTTCCATTGAGATGTAAAACTAACGAGCTGTAAAATCGCGTCAAGATTATTTCCTCGCTTATTTCGACGTCCGTTCGTGAAGTGGTAAAAGAGACGCGCGCATTTATTAAATGAGACTGATAATTGTAAGAGAATATAAATTAAAAGAGATATTTATGGTAAAAAAATTTTAATTAGTCTTATTTTCTCATAAAACATTTTGAAAGTCTTTCTTTGACATTTATTACACATCGGGAAAGAAGTAAAATGAGACGGCGTGTGTAAAAATGTTAATTTTAAAGGAGAAATGTTTTCGACCGTTTGTTCGTGTGTGTTTTTCACATAAGTTGCAAACACAAGTGTTCCGAACAACGTGTAAAACACAGCCCGATGCGCGCTTTACGTTTGCGATTTACGTAAGTGACGTGTGCTCTTCCTTTCTATCGATAGCGAAGGACAGTCGCGGGCAGACCGCTCTGTCAGCACCGCTGCGGAATAAAGTTCTCGATCTCAATCTGTGTTTGTTTCTTCCAACAAGCCGAGGTCGTTGGTACACATACGTGTGCACTTTAACGGAGCGTATCGATACATACTCGCCGCACGGGTATATTCGCGGGAAACGGAGAACCTTGACTGCACTTTCGCGGAACTCGCGCTGCATCCCAATCGACCTTTAAAGGACCAAACCGTTTTCCCAGTTTACTTTCGAAAAGCGATTATAGCTCGGCGTGCTTAACACAGTTCTCGCGATCGGAATTCCCAGCCGCGCGTCTCTCGAAAGACATTTTTAATATTATTTTCTTTCGAGACTTTCGAATGTGTCAGTACGAAAGTCTGATGTTTTTTTTTTTTTTTTTTTTTTTTTTTAATTTATTCCCCGAACTGTAAAACATAAAAGTAAGTTTGTTTCAATTACAGATCTCTGCATTCGAACAAAAAACTCAATGATAATATCATGATTATACGTACAGCAGATATACGAGTGTGGAGTGGATAGTTTTAAAAGCGCTTTCCCAGGAAGTGAGTTGACTATTTATCTCATATCAGAGACTATAGAAGCAAAAAATTTAATTACACTACTCGACGATAACAGTTAAATAATTATTGAGATGTTGTCAGCTGTATATACCATGCCGCAGTGACATAAAATAACTTTCATTATCTAATCTTAATTGTTTTATAAACTAATTAGAAATAAAGAGTACTATCTCTTTCTCAATCTCTATCTTGTTCTGCCTGAAGAGTCTGATAGATCTTGTTCCACTTTTAAAAGGAACAGAAACGTACTTTTTGTTAGTGTCTTTCACGAGGAAGAAGTTTAAATCGACATCGGAAGAATTTGTTATTATAATTAAGATTTTGACGCAATCTCTTGATACAAGATGTGTCGTAAGATAGTTAACAAACATTTAGCTATTTCATATGTTTTAGAAATGGAAAGAATATCTTACATCGTTAAGATAATTAATTAGAAAGGATTTTATCTCACACTTTTTTTATATAAATTGTTACGCTTTCTATGAGATCGAAGAGCGACTGGAGCATTGAAAAGAAGATCTAACAGATTTAATTTATTTATTTTAGCATAGATTTCTTAGTAAATTTTTGTTACAAAATTTTGCAACTTACACCAATTATTATTTACCGTACGATTGTTTGTGTTACTTAAGATTAAAAATTTAGACGTATATTCTTCGTTTTCTTTCGGATTCAATGCAGATTCCTTCTGTACGATGTACGTGCGTACGTTCATAATTCCGACGTGACTTCACTCGCCGTGGGTGATACTACGTTGCAGTGACATTGATATCTCTATTAATAGCGTTGTGTTTTTAACGTGATACTTTTCCTTAAGTCTCTTATTCTGGAAAAAACTTGCATTTTAGTATTCATGCGAACACAAATACGAAATTGAATTATTTGATATGCTGACGTCGGGATCTTTTCTTTGATCTTCCGCGCAATGCGTTTGTGTGTATAAAAGCTTTTCTCTCCCCCCCCTTCTCTCTCTCTCTCTCTCTCTCTCTTTCTCTCTATTGTCTTATCTCTCAAATCACTGAATACCTTATGGATTGTAATATTGCGATTGTTGCAGGAATTTATAATGAAAGTAGAGAATGCGACATCTTCCGAAGGCTTCCAGTAAATAGAAAGTTAATAATTCGATAGCGTGTAATTTTTTACGTCAAAGAACGTTAAACACGTGATCTAATTCAAGTAAAAGCATCACAGAAAGTGGCGATCCGCCAGAGAAGTCCGCATTTTGAGTTGCCGCACGCCTTTACATCTATAGACATCAAACGAAACC